TGCAATCGAATGTCACCTATTTTTCATTTCTCATACTGTCTGGCATTGTGAAACTGTTTCTGCAGTAACTTTTCATCTAGCTAAGGTACAAGCTTCATCCTGGCGTCACTTTAATTGTGAAGTTGGCGTCTTTAAAGTGATACTAGGCAGCATTCTCCAAAGCTGAAGCTAGAAGTTGCACTTGATCAAGTGCAACTGCCAAGATTGGCACTCAATCGCTTTAGACAGATATGACTGTTCCAAAGTAGTGCCAAAATTTCACTTCGATCGAACAATTTGTCCGATTTTAGCGACCGACATCCGCACTCCGCCATCCATGAATTCAGAGTTATAATACTTCATTCGAAAGTGCAATTCATGCCTTTTCTAACGATACCAAATTCAAGACTGGCTCTCAATTGCTTCATGAGATATGACAATTTGACCAAGCCCAGAGCAAGGGAATCATCTGTCCTATAAGTGAAATTTTTGCTGATTGTTTGTTTTAAGCATTTTTATCCTTTCCTAGCACGAAAATTTGCAAAACATTGCCTAAAATTTCAATAAAATGGTTTGCGTTCTATTGTATTTATAAATAAATAATTATAACTAATTATTCATTTAAATTAATTTGCAAAATTTCTTACTTGCATTACTTGCAATTATCTTTGCTAGGAAAATAATAAAATGTTTTAAATTAAAATTTCTGCAAAAATTTCACTCTCAGAGCGGCATAACATCGGGCTACATTCTCATTACCCCCAGGTGCAGCTACCTGTGCACGGTTGTTGTCGTCGAAAGGTCATATCGCGTGAAGCAAGTGAGTGCCAACCTTGGATTTGGCATCGTTTGAAAGGGCATAGCAAGTACTTTTCAACGACGTATTATATTCCGGGTCTCGAGGAGGGGCGAGTGCAAATGTCGGTCACTGAAGAACTGCTGGAATAAGTGGAATTTTGGCACTACTGCTGCAGTCAAATATTCATATCTCATCGAGCCATTGAGCGCCAATCTCGAATTAGGCATAGGTTAGAAATGGCATACCAAGCACTTTTGAATGAAATATTGGAACAACAAATTCCCGAGGTGGCAAGTATAGGTATTGGCCACTGAACATGATCCAATTGTTTTATCAAGTGTAACTTCTTGCTTCAGCTTTGGAGAATGCTGCCTAGTATCACTTTAAAGACGCCAACTTCACAATTAAAATGACACCAGAATGAAGCCTGTATCTTGGCTAGATGAGAAGTCATCGCAGAAACAGTTTCGCAATTCCAGTCCATATGAGCGCCAGAAGCGAAAAATACGTGGCATTCGATTGCATATATCTAGAGATCTTGTGCGAGAGATAAAAAAAAATTATGTGTCTGAATCCATGGATAAGCTTATATTTTCTGCTCATGGGGACCAGGTAGGATCTGAGGATCAGTTGCGAGAAAAGTTTCCGGAAAATTTTTTTAATTTCATGGAGATTTTGGGTACATATCGAGGACAGGGAATACGAATGCGACGATCTCCCCAGAGACCGGGGTTGCCTCGTCGAGTCTGCCCCTAGTCTGCCCCAGTAGCGGTCGAGACGCGGAGTTTGCGATCCCGGATCTACGACCGCTGCAGTTGTAGACATGTACAGATGTGTCTTTTCGAAACCCAGTCATCCTAACATGCCATGGACGAACTCGGCGTGCAGAAGGCGTCGGCACGAAAGGCCTCCACGAATCCTGTCTACAGACCACATAGCAGAAGTATCTCAAAAGCTTCTGGGAAAGTTTCGAAGAAGCGGAGGAACGATGACAACGACTTTCGAGTCCGGTGATCCACCTCCCGTCACGGGAGGTGGATCCTGGATCCACTTCTGGGTCCCCGAATCCGAAAGATGGGGCCCGACTTCCCCATCCCCAGTATGTTCCCTGCCAGTGGGAAAGCTCCCTGCACAATTTCCACAGATTGAATGAAGTTCTACTGGCTCAACAGTTGCTACGAGTCAGAGGGAAACAGTCGAAGCTGACTACTGTATTATTCAGACACAGGCCAGCCCGACTTGCTGGGGTTAAGAAGTTGCCAGGCCTCATAAGGGATTGAGTCACCTGTTACGATTACAATAGACCCATCTGGCCTTACGGGGCACGAAAATCTATGGCAAAACAGGAATTGGAAACCCTTCCTCACAGGGCCGGCCTTAGGCATGTGCCATGTTAGCCCCCGCACAGAGGGCAAATTCACTAGGGGCGCAAAAACGTGTCAGAATGAATGAAACAATAATAGGTGCCACTCGCAGTTTTACCTCAGAGTGGAAATGCCTTCCGTTTCGGCGTCTTTTTGGACGCTAGGGATTGACCTTCCCCCGGGGGGGGGGGGGGTCGTTGGGTCTCATTGCACAGGGCTCTGAAATAGCTAGGGCCGACCCTGCTCCCTGACCCAGCCGAATTTGAGCGACAATCATTTACTCCCAACGTTTACACAGGGAACCTGCAGATGGCTTTAGCCGGGGGAACGTGTGTGAACAAGATTATGTTGGAAAATGAAGCAAAAAATTTATCCTCACAAGAGGAACTTCTTTACATGGGTGGTAGAGTTTTTGTTAGTACTTTTTGTTCTACCATAGTTCGTCTTAGGTCTATTTATAAATTCTGTACGATAACTGTGTCCCCAACATTGATGAATCGAACATGCCACTGATGGTTCTTTCTATAGGGCAAACGCCAACGTGGCCTAACATCCCGGCTTCTGCAACTATTTTGGTCGATTTTCCTTTTCCTTTTCCTCGAATTCCTTGACATCTTATCTTGTCGTTAGAGTTGTGAATTTTCCATCCATACCATAGGCTTGTTATGGCGAACGTTACAAGGGTAAATCTTCAATAAAATCACAATTAGTAATTCTAATAGGTTTTGATAACTTCGTATTAGTAACCCCCGCACCGCTTAAGTATTTGCTGTTGTGGAAAGCAGTTGCAAAGCAAGTACTAAGCCATAATTTCATTCGTTCATCCTAATTTTACGCAAGGGCTAACTTCGCCTTGGCCTATCATTGTCCTAGGGTGCAGTAAATTCAGATTGGCTTTTGGGCGTTTTCGAGCTAGCATTAAAGGCTCCAACCTCTTTGTAAATTCTTTCTTTGAAGGCCTAAGCCAAAACTCCATTGATTCAATCCAGAAATTGGTTCTGTCTTTGGCCTATGAAATGAAGTTACTGTTACTGAAGATTGATTAATTCTATCCAGAAACATATAGCGCTTCTATATTCGCTATAACTTTTTAATAATACAATAGGAAAGTTGATTAACTTACAGAAATTTAATTGGTTCCAATTTCTGACTGGCCGAGTCCAAGTCAGACTTGAAGAATTGAATCCAAACCTGACCAGGTTTGGGTACACAAAGCATTGAACAGCATGTAAGCATAGATTCTAAGCATTGAACTTAGCATGTAAACTTCCATGAAGCAAAAACATGGCTTTCTGTAAATCACTCTTTTGAAAATATAGAATTGTGCTAAGATACAAAAGGTAAACCAAAAGTTGGACCATTACCTGGGATTGTAAAAGATTATGCTATTCCTGGGCACAAATGTGAAATAATGTGATGATTGTTGTATTGAATCACACATGTGCACTATCTTGGATTGACCAATGTGAGAGCATGAGGACTGGTGATGTCTGAATCCAAATCATGATTGGAATCCAACTAATATTCTTGACAATTGTGGAAAGTTGGGAAATCAGACTTAACTGGAAAATTTAGGCTTGAAAGCAGAAACCTTGTTCATGGAAGATAAATGGGACTTGAAGTTGATGAGCTCCTTTTTCCCAAAGGAGCCCATGGGATTTTAAAGGACTCTTAATGGAGGTTTTGGCAATCAGGTCATAATATGACTTGTGATTCACTTTGGGACAGCCAATTGACTCTGTAATTCACTTTAGCGTTCATCTCAAGTTTCAGATGCTATTCCTGATTACTATATCTTAAAGGCAGAGGTCAGCTGCTTTCCATGACATTACCATGTAAACAATAAGGATTGTGTATTTAGGAGACAGTATGTGGACAAGTGTAAAAGAGTTTGGTAATGAGCATTTTCTGAGTGATATCATCTATCCAACAAGGAAATGTCCAACATGGCATGTATGGATGGATGGTGTTCACATGCCAAAGTACATGTGTCTAGGTGGTAATGAAAGATACCCATCTGACTTAGTTTTGAAACCTTGTATTTTCCCTTGAGCCTGACTTGAGGTTAAATAGGTATATTTAACATTGAATCTAGAAGATAGAGTGGTTTGCAAATGAATCTGTATCATCTTTAGCATTGTGCATGGCTATTTCTTTGATGCATCAAAGGAAGCAGGAGGATACATCCCTTGCAGTTACAAAAGACTCTGAAAGTTTGTCTTCCAGATGGCCTAAATTAATTTGTGAATCATTATGGAATGCATTAATCCTACCTGCAAGTGCAGGATGGTTAAAGACATTTTGATTATCTAGCTCATCATGTTAGAAGAGCCAGATCTCTGGAAGCTGTGATGCCAATCTTTGACCCTTCCTATGAACCATAAGCATTATGAACATATCTCCCTTTTTCTTTGAGAAGAAGGGTCTCATCATTAGTCACCATTTGTGTTTCTGTCACCTCTGTTTAACTCTCTTAGTGCCCATAACCTCCCTCCCTCCTTTTTGTGCAAGGATCAAACAACAATATGTAGTTTTTGGGCACTAAGTGGGTTAATATTGTTCAATCAAATGCAAAAGAGCAGCTTTGTTATGATTATCACTCCATGATAAATGATTCCATGGTGCACCTTTGCTTTGGTTTTGGGGGAAGTAAAAGTTTAAGGAAGCAACATTGATGTGAACCAAAAGATCATTTATCTGTTATGGAACCAAACTGATCTTGGGTCAGGGTTGGCATTCAGGTCTCATTTGAGATCTCTAGTTCACTAGGTGCGAGCTGAACTGAAGTCAGTTAGTAGACATATGTCTTGTTCAGGTTAGACTGCTCTGAACTTCTCATCAATGTGGAATTACCATTGCTTTTCAGGAATGCAGTGAGTGAAGTGTCAAGGAATCTGAAACAATAATGGCGAGTGAACAACCTTGTTACACGTTGATCAATACATCAAGTGATACAGAGCCTCCAAATGAGATGCAACTTAAAACAGACCTTGGTAAGATCCCATAGAAAATATCTGGGACCTCATGTGGATTAAAGGTCTGAACAAATGTTCTCATCAGTGAATAGATTCAAGGTCTAGCCCTAAAGTGTGCTTTAATTTTTTTGCCATGACAATCATGCAGCTAAAAACTTTTAAATGCCTTTTAAAAATATTTTATTTATTTTGCAGAATCTAATTCTAACACTGCTCTTTGTATTAGGAAAGGAAAAAGAGTGAAGAGCCAGTCTACCTCAATCCCTTCTTGCCAGAATTCTTTTTCTTTAACAGACCCAATTGCTACTGCATTCCACATGTTTAGAATAATACTATGTTTGGTCTACATTGTCCATCCATTAAAATATGTCTGAATTCTTTTGCTTCAGAAAAAGGGGATGTGAAGGCAAAGACAGAGGCACTTCAGAAGACAATACATATGATCCTGAATGGAGAGAAATTGCCTGGGTTGCTGATGACCATTATTCGTTTTGTTCTTCCCTTGCAAGATCATACTATCAAGAAGCTACTTCTTATTTTCTGGGAGATTGTTCCAAAAACAACTCCTGATGGGAAGCTCATGCAAGAAATGATCCTTGTGTGTGATGCCTACCGCAAGGTTAGTAGTGGTACCTCTTCAGTCTGCAGGTCTTTAATTTGAAATGAAGTTTTGATATCAGCATGTTGACCCTGTGTAAACCTAAGCCAAAGTTGGTTTTTTGTTCTTGCTTTTCAATTGTATGCCTTCTTTGATAGGATCTGCAACACCCAAATGAATTCCTCCGTGGCTCTACTCTCCGATTCCTGTGCAAGCTCAAAGAACCAGAACTGCTTGAACCCCTCATGCCTGCCATTCGAGCATGCTTGGAGCATAGACATTCTTATGTGAGGCGGAATGCTGTGCTGGCCATCTTTACCATTTACAAGTGAGATCTCCCTATAATATTTGGCCCAGGCTTGATTGTATCTATAGTAATGTTTAAACTCTTTTCAGGCCTTTGTTATGGGACTTTCTTACCGAGTTTGTATAATCCTATATGCTGCCTTCATGTTTTTCAGGAATTTTGATTTCCTGATCCCAGATGCCCCAGAATTGATAGCAACATTCCTTGAAGGAGAGCAAGATATGTCATGCAAGCGAAATGCCTTCATGATGCTGATTCATGCAGATCAGGACAGAGCTCTCAATTATCTCAGTTCCTGTATTGACCAAGTTCACACCTTTGGGGACATCCTCCAACTGGTCATTGTTGAGCTCATCTACAAGGTTGAACAATTCTCTCTCTGTTGGGCATTGCTATCTGATTTCATGTTTAACTGACAGTTATGGCTCTGCCTGCAGGTGTGCCATGCAAATCCATCTGAGCGTGCACGATTCATCCGATGCATCTATAATCTCTTGAACTCATCAAGTCAGGCCGTCCGATACGAAGCAGCAGGCACCCTTGTAACACTGTCCACTGCTCCAACTGCTATCAAAGCTGCTGCTTCTTGCTATATTGATCTCATTGTGAAGGAGAGTGACAACAACGTGAAGCTCATAGTTTTAGATCGACTCATTGCTCTGAAGGAGCATCCAGCTCATGAGAAAGTCTTGCAGGAGCTTGTCATGGACATTCTTCGTGTCCTCTCTTCACCTGATCATGAAGTCAGACGCAAGACTCTTCAGCTTGGTAAGATTTAGGATTGATCTTTTGATAAGTCCTCAACTAATGAAACAGAACTCAATGGAACATATACATGATGTAGGATGCCATTACTGGGCATGAACATTTCATATTAAGTGCTAGGTTCCAGCAATGAGTTATTGAGCATATTGAAAGTAATGGTCCATGCACCAATATTGGAACTCTTAGTTTCACTCTTACTTTTCATTGCAACTACGTAAGCAATGGAATAAGTTTTACCACTATTTGTCTCAGTGATTTCAATGCACATTGTGCTGATGACATCATCTGATGCCAAAAGTGCCTCAGTCTTTGGTGTTCTATCAACAGCAATCGTCTTTGATCTTGGGCATTCTATCAACACCAATGGATATGTAACCATGAATGCACAACATGCAAGCATGCAAATCTTGAGCTTCCTGCATGCATTTCTATATCACATGCAAGATATGCTAAATTTGAAATGGCCTTTAAGCCACTGATGCTATGTTTAAAATGTTTTCTGTCATTTACACTATTGGGTCGATGGGTAAGTTCTGGCCGTTTCGAGAACCGAGTTTTTTAAAAAAGCAAAAAAGTTCATCCAATGAAGTAATCGCCATCAGTCAATCACCTTCTGCCAACGATCAGGCAGACTCCTGATTCCATCCCTGTAGAACTGAGCTGGCTGTGAGTAGAAAAAATCAGTCAGCCAGTTTTCAACCTTGGCGTCATCGTTGAACCTTTACTGGCGAAGATGGTTGTCCAGAGCGTGGAAGAGATGGTAGTCGGTTGGCGCCAGATCTGGGCTATACGGAGGGTGGGGCAGAACCTCCCAGCCCAGATCCAGCAGTTTCTGCCATGTGATCTTCGTGACATGTGGCCTTGCGTTGTCGTGTAGGAATTGGACACAACGGTGCCCTGGCCTCACTGTGCAGAGTTTGTCGGCGAGCTTCTGCAGCTGATCACAGTAGTAGGCAGTGGTGATGCTGGTATCGGGTGGGAGCAGCTCGAAGTAGATCACGCCTTGCACGTCCCACCAAATGCACAACATGACTTTTTGGAGGTGCAGGTCACCTTTCAGCTCCAGCTCTGGCTGAGCATCAGCATCAACCCGCTGGTGCCTGTGTTGGTAGGTGATGTACAGCATCCACTTTTCGTCTCCAGTGACTGGAATCCAGCCACTCGTTTATGCATTTGTACGACAGCAACGAAGTGCACACCTCAGCACGGCGTTCACAGTGGCAGTTGGTCAGATCGTGGGGTACCCACTGACCCAACTTGCTCTTCTTGCTGATTGCAGCCAGGTGCATTACGATGGTGGACTGGGCGCAGCCAAGTGCTGTCGCTAAGTCTTTGCCTCAGATAAACTGCACTTTGGCTAAACACGGTGCAGATGCAGCGACTCAATTCAGCTGCTGTGATGCCAGATAGGAAGTCGTAAAGAAGGCACTGATGTTGGGTGGTCTTGTTAAAGTTGATTTTGGAAGTCATGGTTATAGGCTTTGAACGACTATGCAACTGCTGTGTAATCACACCCACACACCCTTTATATACTGCTACTGTGGAAGGTTCAAGAAAGTTTCAGAAATTTTTTTCTGGAAAATTCTCGAAATGGCCAGAACTTTCTGATCAACCCAATACAAGTTGATAATAAAAATCAGATTCACATTGCCAAAAGTATTAGGACAAAGGAAAATTTGACGAGCAACTATCATTTCTCACAAAACTCCATCAGCCCCAATCCATGCACCATACTAGCAAACACCAACTGTCACAGATTGCAGACAACCATTATATTGGACTATAGTAATGTCCTCTACCACATAACCTCTGGGACAATCTGTTTTTGGCAGAAGGAGGCTTGTCCTAATACTTTTGCCAATATAGTGTACATTTGAGTCTGTATATATATAATGTATTGATGCCTTTGAGTTCTCTTTGTGTAATTGAAAATTCTTAATTGTAAAATCCATTGCAGAGCAAATTAAGAATTTGTGGTTGTTCATTGCACAGCAGTATGTATTTCTGACCCACACAATAGGTGCCAGCAGAATTTATGCAGTCATATGGTTAAAAGAATCTTTAGCATCGAATTGAAAATTCTCCCTCATGGAGGACCAAGAGTCCTGAGTCCTGATTTCACTGGAAGTCTTCAGTGCTGCTGTACGAATTGTATCTGAAAAATAAATAGGATTTGTTCAGGTTGGCACTTTCCCCCTTGAAAACATGTAAGTAAAAGATTTGATTACCCAACAGGGTTCTGGAGTGGATATTCTGCAATCTTTGTCCTTAAATTTTCATTCATCATTCTAAAACCGGTAACAGTTGACTTGGATGGCAACCACTAATTTGCTATGGAAATAGTCTTTCTTACCTCAAAAAGGCAATTTTTAGTGCATATCCTATGTTGAATCAATTTATTTTCCAAACTATAGTAAATACGGTCTCAAGGTACAATCATCATGGTTTTAGAAGTCTGCCAGAGTTCAAAACTACTATCCTGAATCTGGAAAGCTTGTAAAAACTTTAAGGGTGGATTTTTGAACAGAGCATTATCCAATAATGCAGCTTTATTTCGGAGAAAATGCATTATAAATCCGGTGAATAAAGCTGCATTATCGGATAGTGCTCTGTTCAAAAATCCACCCTAACATTGTGTATTGTTCCCTGTGCTTAAGCCTTGGAGCTCGTGACTCCACGAACAATTGAGGAGATGGTATTGGTGCTGAAGAAGGAAGTGTCCAAGACCCACAACACTGTGGAGCATGAGGCATCAGGGAAATATCGCCAGCTTCTTGTTCGTACTCTGCACTCTTGCTGCATTAAATTCCCTGAAGTCTCTGCCACAGTCATTCCTCTGCTCATGGACTTCCTGTCTGACACAAATGAACTTGCTGCTGCTGATGTCCTTGTCTTCATCCGGGAAGCAATCCAGAAGTTTGAGCAGCTTCAACCTCTCATCATTGAGGTGAGATCAGGGAATCCAATGTCTCTCTGGCATCAAGTTTCAAGATGTTCCATGATGTGAATCTACTGGTAAATATTTTTTCATTTCTTAGAAACTCTTGGATGCATTTGAAGGAATCAAATCGACAGAGATTCATCGTGCTGCTCTTTGGATTCTTGGGGAGTATGCCTCATCAGCAAATGATATTCAGGTTGTCATGAATGAAATCCGACAGGCTCTTGGGGATGTGAGTTTCTTGCAGATGTTTCCTTGAATGAATTCTATCAATGCCGAAACATCCACGAGTGTGGACTTTGTTTCAGATTCCTTTGGTGGAGAATGAATTAAAGAGGATTGCTGGGGAAAAAACAGATACAGAGGATTTGCAGAGCAGTGGAAGTGTGAAGAAATTGGTCACTGCTGATGGGACATATGCCACACAGTCTGCATTCAGTACCTCTTCGTAAGTACCTTCTTTCCCACTAATGGTCTTTGGGTATTTTGCTTGCTGAGTTCTCTACATGTTTGCTATATTAACTTTTTGACCTGTTGTTATAGACTGTGTGGTAGTGTTCTAAATTATGCTCTCTATTACTGCTTTTTAAAATATATTGCTGTGTTTTACTTGTCACATTCTGTGTATGAACTGTTGAATGCTTGTATGCTTTCCAGGAGTTCTAAAAAAGTAGAGAAAAGACCATCCCTTCTTCAACACCTCCTTGATGGTGACTTTTTCTTTGGTGCTTCTCTGGCCACAACCTTGGTCAAGTTGGCCTTTACTTACATTGACCTGGAAGATGATACAAAGAAACAAAATAAATTCTGTGCTGAGGCCATGCTCATCATGGCTTCCATCATCCACCTTGGAAAATCTGGTTTGTGAAAACTTCTGATATAAATTTCTAAGGATGTTGCTTGAAATTTCACATTTGTGTTTTACATTGTAACATTATAGGGCTGCCCCAAAAAGCAATGACGAATGATGACATGGATCGCATTAGCCTGTGCTTGGAAGTCATAGCTGAGCGGCCTAAGTTTCTGCGTCAGATATTCTTGGAGGAGAGTCGAAAAGCCCTGGCTCAGATGCTGGTTGCACAAGGCAGCAAAAATCTACCCCTTGTTACCAAAGTCTCTGCCTACATCTCACACCCTGTGCTCCTTGTATTTTTTAGATTTTTGTTTTGATGAGTTTATTCATAAACTTTTGTCTGTCACAGGGAACCAAGAAACAAGATATCAAGATCCAACCAGATGATGCTATCTCATTTGTTCAACTTCTCGGGAAGAACCAGTTTGGAGAGAGGGAAGACATGTTTGAGCTAAGTCTCACCAAGGCTGTTGGCATGGCCAAGAAGGAAGGCCTGGATTTCTCCTCCTCCAAACTCAACAAGGTGATGTGATATTCAATTAAGATACAGTCATTTAAATGAAAGTGAACAGGCCTACTCCAATCTGTAATTTTCAGATGGGCAATCAGAATAACTTACTCCTGATTTGAAGACCAGATAGTGGTATACCTTATTATTCATGAGGGAATGAGGTACTCATGATTTAAGAATGGAATGTAGGCATACTACACTTGTACATATGCTTCACTGGTTTCTTCATAGGTGTGTATACAGTATACTCCTGTGGCAGATTTCATATCCAGAATTTCTCTGAGAACATAAATCCAATACAAGTTTTTTGCTCACCATGAGTGAAATTTCTAATTGTTTTTCATTTTTAAAATTGAAATTAGGTGACGCAACTGACAGGATTCTCCGATCCAGTGTATGTGGAGGCATACGTCCATGTGAATCAGTATGATATCGTCTTGGACATCCTAGTTGTCAATCAAACAAGTAGGTTTTTCCACCATCTTACTGCAAGATTAAGGATGTATGTTTCAAGATGTGTTAGTAAACCACTAGAATATGACAACATACAATACTGAAAGTATGAAATATTTTGCAGATGACACATTGCAGAACTGTTGCGTGGAGTTGGCTACACTAGGAGACCTGAAGTTGGTTGAAAAACCAAGTCCAGTTGTTCTAGCCCCACATGATTTCTGCAACATCAAGGCTAATGTCAAAGTCTCCTCTACAGAAAATGGCATAATTTTTGGAAATATTGGTGCGAGATGTTCTGGTTATACAACTTGTTTGTTTGCTGGCCTGTGGCTTATGATTATAGAAAATTTATTTTGCCCCTCTAGTGTATGATTTGCACAGTTCGATGTCGGATCGCAATGTGGTTGTTCTTAACGACATTCACATTGACATCATGGACTACATAGTCCCTGCCTCTTGCACAGATACTGAATTTCGACAGATGTGGGTGGAGTTTGAGTGGGAGAACAAGGTTTGGAGCTTTCTCATCATCCAGCTGGACTTTCTTTGGTATTATTTTCATCTTTGACATGGTTTAACATTTTTGCAGGTTGGAGTGTCTACTAACATAACTGACTTGAGAGCTTACCTGGATCATTTGGTGAAGAGCACCAACATGAAATGTCTCACACCAGAAAAGGTATGTGGTGCTTCTTCATTTTTATTTATTTTTCATAATGCCTGGTATGATAAAAGGTATTTTGCATGTATTACTGGTAGGCCTTATCAGGAGACTGTGGATTCATGGCAGCCAATCTCTATGCTCGGTCCATCTTTGGTGAAGATACACTTGCGAACGTGAGCATTGAGAGGGACCTGAGTAAACCCAATGCTCCTGTTACTGGTCACATTAGGATCAGAGCTAAGAGCCAGGTCAGTTCACTCTGGGCGTCACATTTGTTCCCTTTAGGGTACAAAGGCTGTAAGGTTGCTGAGGTTCTTAGAAGAGAGACATGATTGTATTGGCAACCCAGCAATTTTCATGCAGTAGAAGGTTTGATGCAAGGATGTGTTAGTCTTTGGACCATCAGAAGTTCGTTTACTCAAGTACCTTTTCTATATGATTTGTGATCTGATTACATTAGAAAAATTTGGTCTTTCATTAGTAATATAAGTAGGGATTATTTCTGTAAAAAAAAATAGTGTGAAAATGACTAAAGATGCCTCAGTTGACCTTGGAAAACACTGCAGGGTTGGAGAATTGATGCTAGGACTGAAGGCATGAATGAATTTTTGTTTCTGAATTTGAGCAAAAGCTTCATTTGAGGGGAACAAGTATTTTTGCAGTAGACCTAGGCCTATACTTAGGTCAGTAAAGTCAGTGGTGAGTTTCTTTGTAAATTTACTATCTTCTCTTTGTTTTCTGACCCAAGCATTGCACTGTATGGCAATAGGAAAGTGCATTATGTTGTGGATATGAAATGGGTTGTGCAGGGGATGGCATTGAGCATGGGAGACAAAGTGAATCAGAGTCAGAAACGAGGTGCACGTCCTGGTGTTCCCAAGAGCAAGTCTGTTGGAGTTGGGCTCTGAATGGTGGTACACACCCATTTTTCATGTATTCCTTTATTTCACTTTCTGAGTTCTGGAATCGTTCACATTGCTATGGTATTTATACAGAAACTATTCCAATTGAAATTGTGCTGGTTCTATTATAATGTTTACAACAGATATTTTTGGATTGTGTTTTCCTTCTTGGATTATCTCTGTTTTCTATTGGCAGAGCTTCTCAGTTTGGCCTGGTGATGGTGTTGTTGAAAGATTATCATCATTGATATGTCAGTACAAGGATGGGAAGTGGCAGTGTGCTTTAACCCTTATCCAGGCGAGTGGAGTCCGTTGGAATTTATTGGTATTTTGTGTTTGAGTTAACAATGTCAGCATTAATTTTGCATTACTTTTCAAATTCACCAGAATCAATGTAAGAAAGACTTTGCTTTGTGATAAATATGCTTTTGCCTGTTTTCACACAATATAAACTTTAAGTAATTGGGGGTCCACCTTGCCTGGTTACATTCATCTCTTACCTTGACAGGATAGGGGTTAAAGGCTGCAATTAATGCTGAAGTTGTGTATTCCCTTGCACCAAATGAAGAAAAAGATGGTATCTAGAATTCTCTTAAAATAACATGGATGAAAAACTTCATTTTCTTGATAAGGGTGATACTCTTGAAAATAACAATATTTTCTGATTAGTTTCTCACTGGAAGTTTTCCAATTGAGGACCCAACTATTGTTCATCCACAGGAAGATTTAGCAGATACTATCAGTGAGGGATCATCAGAAATGCCATTTATCTTTTGCAGCATCCTTCTCGGCACTTTTACATCATCGAATTATTCCCATGAATTGCCAGTGTGAAAATATTGAGAGTGAACTACAGATGGAAACAGAATGCCAAAATGAAATTTACTTTTGTTGAGGAAAATTCTCATTTATTTCCCCCTTCTTTGAGATCACCTTGCGAGGGAAGAGGGAGTGAGACTGCCTTTCAATCTGTGCAAACATTTTTCCTTCATTATATTCCATTTTTACACAACTTTCTTTGGGGATCATCTGGAAGCCCCACGGCCACCCATCTGGCTGCGTCCTTGCTTCATGCACTAACCAGGTAGGTAAGTAGTAACAGATTGGTTTCTTGGAAATTGCCTTTAAATGTTATGATCTTTGACTATTGCCAAGAAAAGTAATAAGAAGGAAATGGTAGATTTGGTAATGACATAATAATAATGAGCTTTCTTGGAAGAACTTATGAGCGTTAGGGACTCGTTGAGCTCATTTGAAATGCACTCGTCCAGTTATTGCTCCCCACTTCAGTGCTTGGCGTACCATATCTCTTGGAGTGCAGATGGCTGTTATTAGCGTTCCCGGTGTATTATTGCCATCTGGCTTTGAAATGAGTTATTTCCTCATCACTCGACTGGTTTTCGCATAGAATGCAATCGCATCAAATCAGGTAAGGTTCCAACCTACTAACGAAGGGGTGCACAATTTATTCCGCTACATCAAGCGTCACCGACCGCTGAGGCCATCAGGCACTAGAAATTATATGCAGTACACAAGGAATGATTGGATTGGATCCAGTACGATAGAGAGGGCCTCTATATTTAGTTCACTCGCTGGAAAAGGAAACGATTGCTCAATAATTTCCCATAATCGTTTTGTCTGCTCGCTCGAGTCGAAAGTTCCCAAATTTGCATGAAAGATCATTATGCTCCAACATGCTACCAGAAATCGAATTCTAGGAATTCCGTTCATGTTTTTGCAATCATTTATCACGATGCCCAGGAATACTCTAGAATTTCTTGCTTTTCATGCAATTTCGTTCATTTTCATACATCGGGACTGTTACTATACGCCCATATGTAAGTGTTGCCCGATGCACACTTCAGTATTGATCGAATCGGTCCTGTTAGTAACGTCGAAGTAGCTGTTATTCGAAAGCAATAGCGAATGATATTTTGACGAAATGGACAAGATGAGGATGAAGCGACAAAACTCCCGGTCCAGGGCCTCGCACCCACGAGAGAAGATTGCAAAAGCAGACGACGACGAATCAGAAACGAGTAAGGATGCCCTGACACGATGCAGCATCCAAGTGAAAGTAACTGGCGGGGACTCGCCACGCTTCACGACGTGATGTTCATCGGTTGCTCGAAGTCCACGCTTTATGCCCGATAATCAAATTGCAATAAGATACGAACATTTTTCTTTTGTTGCTTGACCGCTTCCAAGGCAGACTCTGGTAAAGCTCCTTTCGGTAATGCATCTAATGTGCATATCCTAATAGAAAATTTCAGACGTTTCTGGATGAAATAAGTAGGCTCTCGTCTCTATCGAGCTTGTCATCGTCCCATCATCTCCCGAACCCTGGAGAATGAATGAAGGAATCGATATTGTGGGTACACCCGTTTATTTTCTAACTCGACCTGACCTGACAACGTGGAGTCGCGGCTCGTAGGACATCCCTGCCACGCGGGAACCACGTGGAAGACCGCGGGAAGCTCCAGCCAGTCTCTCCCGGGCCGAGGAGGTGGACGCGTGTCGCGAAGCCTCGGGGTTTCCCGCTTCAATGGTGGGTGGGTGGCCCCTCGGTCGTCAAGTTTGGACAAAAAAAAGAAACGATGGTCATGTAATGCTTGGAGTGGATTTGGCCCTTGCGCTCGCGTGACGAGCATTTCAGAGGTAGTTAAATATAAGAACATTTGCATACGACGGAATATCGATTCACGTGACTTTATCACTGTATAGTTTGATGAGTGCGAGTTGGTTCTCTGCCAAGACAGCCGCAAAAAAAAATCCAAAAGAACTATTCACTTCCTTCGATTGTTAGCGCCTCTCACTCTTCCATTGTTTTGCTCCCGTTATTCTCAGAACGAAATGATGTGTTCTCGCCCTCATCCGTCTCGCGGGGAGGAAAAGACGAAAAAGACGGAGAGGCACTCGAGAGAAGCATCCTGCCATCCGGCCTGCATCCGGCTCTCCACGAGCTACTTTCCGTTCGCACTTCAGCTTCTCTTTTGGCTTTCCCATTCAACATTTTCAAGCAAAAAATCATCTGGTTTACCCACGTCCAATTTTGGAGATACGTTTGTTCCAACTCTCATCGCACAATCCCTAGCCCCCTCTCCATAGCTATCGGGAATTTTTGGAACAGCTAGTCTTATTTAAGCAAAATAAAGATGAAACCGATTTGACCAATGATGAGGCACTTTAAACGAAAACCCTAATTTGCAGCAACAAACTTACACAACAAACTGCCAAATTTCATTACTCGACTCATGGGAGTTTTACTGAATACCTATGATTTACTGCAGACAGTCCGACAATGAAGCTTTTCGCCCTCTTGCCAGGGAGACACTCGATTCCCGTCCATTCCAGACCTTCACTCTACCCGCCCAAGACATCCATCGCGCGTGAATACATAACGTCATTCGATTCAATGCCCATTGAGAAGAGGGCGAAAGCCATAGAGCCGATCCGTCTCCATCTCCGTTTCACCATTCGCCCTCTCAAAGAATTCCTAACGAGTCGCACATCCGGTCAGTCCGATCCCACGAACGGCGACGTGGGAATAGGTGCGAGGGACGGGATGGGGTCAACACAGGCGCATGAATTTCATTGTGATTAAGATGCCCTGTGCGTTACATTCCATATTCATCAGCTTATACGTAATATTATGCCAGGTGATTGTTGGAGAGGAGAGGAGGGTGAGAGGGAAAGAGAGATTAGTCTGTCTTGTGATAGATGGAGCCAAAGTGGCAACGTAAATGTTTTTCACGTTCCTTCCGAGTATAGTATATTTTTCAACAAGAGAGCACTGAGTTGTTCCTTTTTCCCACTTTGGAGTAAACTGGTTTTCAGCGGAATAGAATCCCTTGGCTCCTTTTCATGGGAAAGGGAAGATGGAGGAGGATGGGGAAGGGCGGGATGGGGGTTGGGAGAAGAAGAGGTCGTGTGTGTAAGACTGCTGGGGTGACACAACTCATAAACTTACCTGGTCGGGGAGAAACGGTGATCATGAAGGTCGTTCTCCCAGGGTGAGGCTCTTCCATTGCACTCCGGCTGAGCTGACCCCTGTGACTGCCCCAAATGCGGGTTGGTCAACGGCGAAATTTTTGCCTTTGGGAGTCTGCGTTCGCGCGGACTTCCTTACTTCACGAAACAAATCTAATAGATACCACAGTTGTGTTCGTCCGCTACTTCCCATACATAAAGCGTCGATATGCGCGTTCTTACCTGCTATTTGATGATGAGAAGCTATACTGGAACAGGTGAACTACTTCGGTTCGGAATCCATTATTCTCTAGCCTGAGAAACATGCCTCACAAGAGATGGACATCCCACATGTTAATGTTAGTGAACTTGTTAAAACATGTCAAGGCATTGACATGTTTTAACAAGTTCACTAGCATTATTGCAAAATGGCACACATGCTGTGTCGACTTTTTTCCCCCACAATTTTATTGCTACTGTCTATTACTGTTTTGAAAGTTGATTTAGAGTGCTGCATTTTTTTTGGTGCATGGGAAACAGAATTACGTATATCTATTGATAGAATATGAAATTTCTCCACATATTCATACATTCATTACTTCTAGTGATGTACATTGCAACGGCAAATGACGACTGTAACAACGTTACGGCTCGACTTATACGCTTTAGGTGTATTACTCTAAAAAAAAACCTGTGGGTTCTAAAGAGTTTCTGAGTGGTGATTAAAAAAATTAGTTAATGGATTCTCATGGAGGCAGTCATCTCCTAACGCCCGTTCCAGGGGAGACAAATTTTTATGCATTCTCGCTTTCCTGGCTCACAATTTCACATGGAGCAGCTATTTTCAGTCCAGGGAGAGTGATGTCGCCTCAAGGGGCGATACCCTATCATGTATGAGAGAGCATGGAGGTTAGCGCACTCTCGCTCTCGCTGGAGCGAGAAAGCGGAGGAGGAGACGTTGCCAGACTTTCATATGAGGCAAGGACGAAGAATCTTGCTTTCACGACTCAACTCGTGGGAGTTTTATTGAATACCCCTGACTTCTTGATTGCAGGCTGTCAAATTATAAGGTTTTTTTTTTCACCCTCTTGCCTGATGAGCCAAGGAGAGACTCGATTACCCGTTCATTCCAGACCTTCAATTCAATCCGCCCTCGGCATCCTTCTCCGTTGAATACGTGCGTCATTCGATTGAATGCCTATTGAAACGAGAAGGAAAGCCGTGGAGCCGATCCGTCTCCATCTCCGTCTCCCTATTCCCCCTCGCAAGGAAATTCTAACGAGTTGCGCAGCGGGTCAGTCCGGTCCCACGGAAAACGGCGTGAGGACGGATGAGGGGGACGGCGTCTGGTCAACACAGACGTCGGAATTTCTTTTATTTGAGCTCGTCTTTTGCTTTTCTTCGTCTTGCGTTGTCGGGATTGGCGTGCGAACTCGGGATGCACGTTGTTTGGAGTATACAGGGTGCGGCAAAAGTGAAGGGACTTAGGACTTTTTTTACATTTAAGTTTCAAAGTGACTGTCGATGTCAGGACATTTTCGCATTTCTTTTTAATCAATTTGGCATACAATAGTCCAGGGAAGAGAGCTCCCTGTGAGCCTACTGGAATTGGCTGCAAATGATCGACAATTACTCACCTGGAACAAGTACAGCAGTTTTGGTGGTTACATGTCATTTCCGTTGCTATTCATGCTTGTGACCTCCATGCTTGAGTGCACATTATTATTATTGAAATTATTATTGAAATGTTAGACAGAAAGGAAAGTTAAATTCCCCCAAAAGTCCTATGTTCCCTCGCTTTTGCTGCACCCTGTATTCCTGCGTAACAGTACAATTATCGTGCATCCCGAAAAAATCAGCCTATGTAGTTCAGCTAGAACTGGAAAACAAAGTCTGCATATGA